GTTCAGACTTCTCTGTCAGTCCATTATTGCTCATAAGCTCTTTGACTATGTGGTCTTGGTCTTTATCTTCCTCAACTGCATCACTGTGGCTCTGGAGAGGCCAAGGATTCTGCAAGGCAGCCTGGTGAGAAATATATTATTTTGTATGATTTGTCATTTTGTGGACTTTCAGCAATCTCTAGCCACTTCCGTTGGACACACACACACACACACACACACACACGCACGCACGCACGCACGCACGCACGCACGCACATAATTTTCACTTTTGCATCTGACAGTTATTTACTTTGGCAACTCTGGTTGTTTACACTAAGACTGTGCTGAAACAGTCTGCAGAGTTCTGCAACACATGGTGTGTGAAACACAAGCTGTAAATCAGACTGACAAACAGAGATTTTCAGGTGTGGGAATTTGCTCAATTTTTGTCTGGGTTGCTACTTAGAGCAATCCAGTCCCTACATAACCAAAGCAGGAGCTATGTTCGCATTCTTGACACAAAGTTGAGCTTGTTCTCAGTGCGTGTTGGACTCTGCCAGGGCTGTCCCTCGTCTACGATCCTGTTTGTAGTGTTTATGGACAGGATCTTGATGTGTAGTCGTGGAGAGGAGGGTGTCTGGTTTGGGAACCAAACCTCTGCTGTRTGCAGATGATGTGGTTCTGTTGGCGTCTTCGGACCAAGACCTTCAGCGTGCACTGGGGTGGTTCACTGYCGAGTGTGAAGGGGCTGGGATGAAGGTCAGTTCCTCTAAATCTGARGCCATGGTTCTCAACCAGAAAAGGCTGGAATGCCCCCTTGGGGTCGGGAGAGAGTCTTTGTTCCAAGAGGAGGAGTTTAAGTATCTGGGTGTCTTGTTCACGAGTGATGGTAGGATGGAGAGGGAGATGGATTAACAGATTGGGGCCTCGTCCTCAGTAGTGAGGGTGTTACTTCAGTCAGTCATGGGGAAGAAAGAGCTGAGTCGAAAGACAAAGCTCTCGATTTACTGGTTTGTCTTTGTTCCAACCCTCATCTATGGTCATAAGGTGTGGATCATGACTGAAAGAATGAGATCCCGGATACAAGCGGCCGAAATGAGCTTCCTTTATAGGGTGGCTGAGGTCAGCCATAAACATAGGGTGAGGAGCTCCATCATCCGGGGAGAGCTCGGAGTAGAGCCGCTGCTCCTCCATATCGAAAGGAGTCAGTTGAAGTGGTTCAGGCTTCTGATTAGGATGCCTCCTGGCACATACCTCCACCTCCCTTTAGAGGTGTTCTGGGTACATCCCACTGGTAGGAGGTCCCGGGGAAGACCCAGGACTTTCTGGAGGGATTATGTATCCTCTCTGGCCTAGGAATGCCTCGGGGTCCCCCAGGACGAGCTGGAAAGTGTCGCTGGGAAGAGGGATGTCTGGGTTTCTCTTCTGGACCTGTTGCGTCCGCCACCCTACTACGGATCAGCAGCAGAAGAAGATGGAGATGGAGATGGGAATTTGTTCAGAAATAAACCCTCCTCTGGAAGCTTTACTCACTCATAAACAGGTGTACACTGCTGGTTTAATACTGTTAATATTAGACTTAGTGTTAGGTTTACATATGTTTATACATGTAGTGCCCTATACATGTGACAGGCTATATTTAACTTCAGCAATAGGACTATAAGAAGAAATCMTTTTCTCTAACTGATCTTTATTTTATTTGTTGTTAAGTATAAACCTTCCTTAGGAATACTAATTGTTTCAAACATTTAATGTATTCTGGCACCATGATACTTGTCTTCATTCAACTAAATTAAAATTATTTTATGTTAAGCATTTTTTAATTATCTTGTGAAATCAAATTAATGTAAAACAACTTTATTTTGAGTTTACTTTAGAAACCTGATTAAATTTAGGTTTGATTATTTAAAAAAAAACCTTAACAAATTCTGTCAGTGAAGTTTTTTTTGTTCCTTGTCTGCCACTTTTAAATTCCACTGCTAATCTGTTCTCTTTTTTAATTCCTTTCAATATCTTGCTCTGCTTTTCTGTTTCTTTTTTTATTTATTGCAGGAAAGACTGTTTCTTACTATATCCAACTATATTTTTACGGCAATCTTTGTGGCCGAGATGACTGTCAAGGTAAACTTTTTTAAAGCATTTTCCATCCATCCATCCATCCATCCATCCATCCATCCATCCATCCATCCATCCATCCATCCATCCATCCATCCATCCATCCTTGCTTTTTTACACATTTGATTATTTCCCCTTCAGTTTTTTTCCTCCTCCTCACTGTTTTGCTGACAGCTCTGCAGCTTGATAACATCAATGATTTACTAATGATACTAGAGAACACTTGCACTAGTATCATTAGCAATAGACAACTGGATAATGAAGTTAATTAGAAGTCCATCACTCTTCAACAGGCTGACTGCTTCTGGACTTCCACTAAYCTGCTTTCTAGAAGCTATAACATCATCCATTATTGGGGCTCCTGTGTCTTCAGGATGTTTTTCATTCTGGTATAAATTCTGTAGTGCTTTATCTATGACTGGGAAGTAAAAACTGTGAGTAGCACAATGATGTGAAGATCATGTAATGTCAAGAGTGTTGYGTAGTTCATGTGGGAGTCTAAATGCAGATTGTCCCGGGTTGAATATAAGGTCTTATTTTCTCTCTTTTATTAATGTCTTTGTTTTTGTTATGTTTTTTTTTTACATTCATTCCCTAAAAAAGACATACAGTAGCACACATAAYATATTATTTCCTTCTTTTAATATTTTAATATAAGTACTCTATCACAATCTTATCACTATATGCTCTTTTTTGCCTTCATTTGTAATTTATTCCAAGAAGCTTATCTTCCATTTGCTGCTTCATTTAGGTCCTCAGATATAGTCTGATCTTTTTTTTTTTAGATTTTTTAGGCTTATTATCTTATCTTGAACATAAAACAGTGACACACTGGTTTGTTTTGTTTTTCCAGTGCTTGCAAATTTACAGTTTCGTATTTTATAGTGATAAACAAATCTTTGACTGTTTGAGAGCATCACTTCCTGAGTAAAATACTTTGTGTTATGGTACTATAGATGTCCCTGTCATTTCTTTTCAATCTTTGTACTTTAATATTTCCACTAATTTTTTTAATTCTTTTTACCCAGATTTCAGATTTCTGTTTTTAATCTTAGAGTTTATTCAGTCATGTCATTTCTAAGCCATTATTACCTTGTTTTTGTCACTCAGTCTCACACATGTTGTTGTCAACTCGCTCTCACTCGGTGATCACCTTTCCCAGTGTATACTGTCTTGTGTTCCTTGGCCTCACTGTCAGATTTTTCCTTTCCTGTCTGGTTTGTTAAATGTTTCCAATCATATGTCTTGAGCTTTGGCGTGGTGCATTATTTTGTGTCTTGTCAGCCATTTTTTTCAAAAGCTGTAGTTTGTGGCATTATTGTGGTTTTCCCCTACAATTGAGTCAACATTGTGTAGAAGATTTTAATAAGAGTATCATMTTTTCCTGAATTACCAAAAAGGCCAGGCCTCCATTTATAAATGAATCTGTTCATTAGTCTGAACTCTGTTGATATCATGATGTATTAGGGAGTACAAATGATCCATAATCTGATGGTAAAATTCTTAACCTGATTAGTTTCAAGTAAATCATGTGGTCAGTACAGTTTAAACCACTTTCTAGGACTGGGTTGAATAGGAGAGGGTTTGACAGAGTTCATTATGACCCCTGCACATRAAGCAAGCAGGGATCTACAATGGTTTTATGATAGATCACATATTTGAGGAGTGGGGTCCACCTGAACAGAGTGTGTTTGAACATGCAAAAAATTATTTTAACTCAAAAAATATTCAACATAGGAGCTTCAGTTTTTGTTTTTGTTTATATATACATTATATATATACAGTATATATATATATA